TATCAAAACAAACCGGAGCTGCTTGTTGGCCAAGCACAGGTCCTCAAAATAACCTCGAGGAATTGCCTCATGTGCATAAGGAAGAAACTGCAACTCAATGAGACAGACTACCGTAAAGTAACTCATGGTTCACACTCCAAATTATAGAAAACAAATGCTAATCAACACACCAAAATGAATAAAAGACAATGAAATCATTGTATTTGAATAAAATCACTCACCTCTTGATCACTCCGAATGTAAGCCATTCCCTTCCTCTCTACACACACACACACACAAAATAAGAGAAGCAGACTTGCAGAGACATAAAAGGGTAAAAAATGAAGAGGCAACAAATGGTAGGAAGAGTATAAGGTATGTTGAAAACCTTCTTAAAATTAAGCACATTTGGATTTGATCAATTACAAAATAGTTGTCTTTTGCTTCACATGGTCCCTTAGAAAATGGAACCTGGTATCAATGTGCTTGCTCCTTCCATGTTGGACTGGATTCCTAGCAAGCTTGATAGCTGAGATGTTATCCATATGAATCACAGTCGATTCCATTTGTGGATGACACATTGACTTCAACAGATTTCTTAACCAAATTGCCTCACACACGGTTGAGGCTACAACAACATACTCGGCTTCACATGATGACAAAGAACCAATTGATTGCTTCTTTGAAGTCCATGAGAAAGCTGTTGATCCTAGAAAAAACACATAGCCAGTTGTGCTTTTCCTTTCATCTTGGTCACCTCCCCAATCACTATCTGAATAACCAAATAATTTTGCATCTTCACCAAAATTATAAAACAGACCATAGTTTAGAGTACCTCTTATGTACCTCAAAATTCTCTTGGCGGCCAGCCAATGAGACTCCCTTGGTGTTTCCATGTATCGACTCACGAGTCCAACACCATAAACTATATCAGGTCTTGTGATTGTAAGGTACCTTAGGCTTTCAACTAAGCTTTTGTACACGGTTGAGTTTACAAACTCACCTTCTCCTTCCTTAGACAGCTTCAATCCAGTTGCAACTGGAGTGTTGACAATATTGCACTTGTCCATATTGAATTTCTCCAATATATCTCTCATGTACTTTTGTTGAGAAATGTAGATACCATCACTTCCTTGCTTCACTTCTATGCCAAGAAAGTATGACATTAATCCATTGTCAGTCATCTCGAATTCACTGAACATGGATTGCTTGAACTCACAGAACATTGCTTCATTGTTTCCTGTAAACAACAAGTCATCTACATAGAGACAAATAATTAAGAACTCCCCTTTTGCACCATTCTTCATGTAAACTGAATGCTCGTATGGACATTTCTGAAATCCATTTTGGTGAAGGTAGTTGTCAATCCTTGAGTTCCAAGCTCGTGGTGCTTGCTTGAGGCCATACAAAGCCTTCTTCAAACGATACACCTTATCTTTTTTTCCCTGTACTTGGAAGCCTTTTGGTTGTTCCACGTACACTTCTTCCTCAAGAACTCCATTAAGGAAGGCTGACTTGACATCTAATTGATAAATTTTCCATTTATGCTGAGCGGCAAGAGAGATTAGTAATCTTACCGTGTCAAGTCTTGCAACTGGAGCATAGACTTCATCATAGTCCACTCCATACTTCTGTTTGTAGCCCTTTGCTACAAGCCTTGATTTGTATCGATCCACACTCCCATCTGCAGTGCGTTTGATCTTGTAAACCCACTTGACACCAATAGCTTTCTGATTTGGTGGGAGCTTTGTCAACTCCCAAGTGTTATTCTTCTCAATGGCATGGATCTCTTCTTCCATGGCTTTTTTCCAACAATTTTCTTCCACAGCTTCATTGAATGAGAGAGGCTCATAGTCTGCATAGAAGCAGAAAAAATTGGTTTCTTCTTCTTCTTGTCCATAAATCTCTGTGAGACTCCTTAACCTCACTGGAGTTGAGGAGCTGCTTTCCTCACTAGATGTAGGACCACTCCTTGCAATTCTGTGCACTGGAGTTGTTGTGATTGTTTGAGCAGGTTGTTGCTCAACAGGTGGTACAACTTCTGGTTCTTCAAAATCAGTGGAGACGATCTTCTCTTTACTGACTTCTTTGTTGGTCCACATCCATGCCTCTTCCTCACTGAAGATGACATCTCTACTAACCACTAGTTTGCCAGTTAGTGGGTTGTAGAGCTTGTACGCCTTGGACTCTTCACTATAGCCCACAAACACACACTTCTCACCTCTATCATCAAGTTTCCTCCTCTTGGCTTCTGGAACTTGAGCATATGCAACACACCCAAAAATTCTTAGGTGTGTAACATTCGGCTTGTATCCACTCCAAGCCTCTTGTGGTGTCATCCTCTTGACACTCTTTGTTGGACATCAATTCAACAAATAAATCGAACAAGCTACAGCTTCTGCCCATAACTCTTTTGGCAAATTCTTCTCCTTAAGCATGGACCTTGTCATGTCAAGGATGGTTCGATTCTTTCTTTCGGCTATCCCATTTTGCTGTGGGGTATAGGCAGCAGTAAGTTGATGCCTAATTCCTTGCTCCTTGCAGTATGCTTGGAAAGCATTGGAGGTGTACTCTCCACCTCTATCTGATCTCACAGCCACAAGCTTGTGGTTGCTTTCAGCCTCTGTGAGTGCCTTGAACTCCTTGAAGATTCTTAGGGCAGCCGACTTCTCCTTGAGAAAGTAAACCCAAGTCTTCCTACTAAAATCATCAATGAAAGTAATAAAATATCTATTACCTCCATAAGACATGGGATCCAATGGACCACATATATCTGTGTGCACTAACTGCAGTGGTGCCCTTGCTCTCCATGTATCACCAACAGGGAATGATAGTCGTGCTTGCTTGCCAAGCACACAACCTTCACATACTTGGCGTGTGGCTTCAATCTGGGGTAGACCACGAACCATTCCTTCATTTGACAGCAACTTTAGGCCATTGAAATGAAGATGGCCATACCGAAGATGCCATTTCCATGACCCATCTTCCATTACACCGATGTTGCAACTCCCAATCTTTGTGTTCAACTTCAACGGGAACATTCGGTTTTTTGACATTTGAACACGTGCAATAAGCTTTCTTCTTGCATTCCTGAGAGTGAGAAACATATCCTCCATATGTATAACATACCCTTTCTGGAGCAGTTGACCAATGCTCAAAATGTTGCTCTTCATACCTGGTATGTAGTAGGTATCGGAGATGTATTCTTCTTTACCATCCTTCTGGATGATTTTGATCTTTCCTTTTCCTTCAACTGGCAACTTTGAGGAGTCACCAAGACTCATAGATCTATAAGGCCCATCTTTGAGTTCGGCAAAAAACTCTTTCTTTCCACACATGTGGTTGCTTGCACCAGAGTCTAAATACCAGACATCTTGTTGGCTACTGATATCATGGTGTGCTAGTAAGACTGTAAGTTCTTCACCAGCATTTCCACTTGATTATGCCATGTTGACATGCTCACCATTTTTATATGAACATTCATTTGCATAATGTCCATACTGCTTGCAACTGTGACACTGGATATGCGCCTTTCCTCGAGTAGATCTCCACTCCTGAGACTGACCTAGATTTTGTGCATAGCCTCGACCTCTTCCTCGGGCTCGTCCTCGGCTACGGTTGGATGAACTCCCACGACGTGAGTTCCACTGCCCACGACCTTTATTTGGTTTGTCAATATTCAACTTTGACTCCAAAGCTTGCTCTAGCGTTGTGGGGCTTGCATTCTTCTGAATGCGTTGCTCGTGAACTATGAGGGATCCTAGTAGCTCCTCTGCGCTCATCGCCTCCAAATCCTTGGATTCCTCAATGGCAGTCACCACATGCTCAAACTTAGATGTGAGTGACCGGAGTATCTTCTCCACAACTCGTACTTCATCGAGTCTCTCGCCATTTCTCTTCATTTGATTTACTATCACAATGAGCCTTGAATGATAGTCGGAGATGCTCTCTCCTTCATTCATGTGAGCAGTTTCAAAATCTGCTCGAAGTGACTGTAATCTCACTTTCTTGACCCGATCTACTCCTTTGTAGATTGTACTGAGTGTGTCCCATACTTGCTTGCTCGTTGTTGCTTATGCAACCTTCTCGAACGTTGAATCTTCTAATCCTTGATAAAGAAGATACAACGCCTTCTGGTCCTTCTTTCGTAAATCCTTGAGAGTGTTCCTTTGATCTGCTGTATATGTGGCTTCTTGCTTGGTAGTGGGTACAACATACCCATTACTGACAACTTCCCATAGCTCTTGTGATCCAAACAATGCTTTGAATTGGATGCACCATCTTTCATAATTTTCTTTCTTCAATGTGGGAACTTGGAGCTGCACTAAGTTGGATGCCATAACTGTTGCACCTGCCAGAATGGTATTCTGGCTCTGATACCAATTGTTGGTATTCACAAGAGTTTGCTAACTCAATACCAAAATAGATGTGGGTGATAAGTTTACAAACTCTATCATACCTCTCACTTCACTCTCAATAAAATTGGACAAGGAAAGAAATAGAGAAATAGAGAAATAGAGAAAGGAGGGAAGCAACAAGCTTTGGTAAAACACTTGCACTTAGATATATGAAAAGAGAGTTTACAAACTCAATAGCTTACAAGCTGAAATTAAATGAATGGGAAATGGGATTCGGATGGGATGATCTAAAGCTTAGCAAGATGGCCTATTTATACAAAACAGAAATTAATAAACAATGCAACAACACATGCAATGAATGGGGTGTTTAACATCTTTACACCCTTTAAAACACATGCAGGAACTTTGGACAGTCTAGCACTCATATGCAGCTATCTTTCCAGCTTGCAATCAACACTCTTTCGGCTAATACATCACATGGCAGCACACTGCTGTCTTGTAATCAGCTTTCGGCTAACAGATGGAGGGAGTAATGATCTTTGTAGTTGCTGGAAACAACCTGGAAAGAAACTAACAGCTTGCTTTAACCATTAACAACCTGTTTTGATTTGATTTTCCAACATATTCATCATTGCTCTATCACTCTTGTTAATTTTCATTTTTGTTTCGTTTTGTTTCGGCTTTTCTTTAACAGCGTAGGCACACAAAACCAATCAAATTCATTCACCTACTTACGCCACAAAAGCATGAATATTTTGTTTCAAATTTCAATCCCAAAAAACAGAACCAATCAAATTAATTCACCAATTGATGCACAAAGCACACAACTTTGAAACTCAATCCCTATTATTGCACACAAATTCTTGACTTCTAACACAAAACCCATGTCCAATTCCACATAGCAAAAGCTGGGCAATCAATAATTTCAATCTTAACTAAAACTTTAACACAATTATAACTGTAACAACTCTAATCACTTTACAGAAAAGAAAAAAAAAAAGATACATAGAAAGTGGATGTACCTGTAATACGGAACCGTCTGAAGTGAAGAACACAAAGATGTGTGCTTTGCTGCTCAAATTTGTAGAGTGACAGAGACAAATACCCAGAAACAAAATAGATAAAACCAAAAACTTCAAGATGAAAAAATTACAGAAATAAATCTGAAATTTTAGAGAGACAAAGTGAGGAGAGAGAAATAGCCGGAAGACATTGGGCGAGGAGGCCATTGACGGCTTTGTTGGGGTAGGACCTCAGTGTAGTTTTTCACAATCTCCTTTGAGGTTTGGCCCAAAAATTAAAAGCAACATATCATGACTGAAGAACGAAGCAGTTGAAGAGCACGCCACAGTTCCATCACGTAGCACGAACAGTACAGCAAAGCAAGAGGGAAATATGGAGTCCTCACCTCATGCTCATTAACACCACTTTATGAATCTGTGCTTAAATGACTACAAATATTACAAAAGGCGTTTCTCTTTGTCAATAAAATGAACAAAGATAAAAAAATCAGTACGCAAGAAAGACCAAAATAATCGTTGAGGGGGAAGAAATTGATGAAACATCGAACCTTGAGAACTTGATCTTCTGGGCAGCGAGTCGAAGAGCTGAAGTGGCCTTGAAGGAAGTGAGTTCGACTGGAGTCTAGGGTTTGAGAGCAATGGAAAACATTTTACTCAAATTTAAAAATTTTAAATTAAAGATAACTAAATGCACATATTTGGAAAAAAATGGAATGTTTCCATATGTAAATCTCACCCTCAACAGTTTTAAAACACCGTCATCCGAGCGCAAATAGGGGGTGGAAAATGTTGTCCCAGCAAAAACACAACCTGCAAAGCAAACAAACCAACACACACACAAAAATAAATAAAAAAAACCCCAAATGATCAACGATAAAATTTAGAAATCCTACCACACAAAATCGCAAGAACAACATAAAAAATTACCAATAAAAGTTAGAAAAAAACACACACGGTCTGACAATAAACGCCTTAACGCCAATGATGGCCTCAAACCCAAACAAAATCCCAAATCAGTTCAAAAAATAGTGAAAATGAACTGAACCCATTCCTCTATCATATTCTTTTCCTCAGTTTCCCTAACCCTAATCCCAAATCTTTCTTCCATGCTTTCTCCGCCATACATTAATGCCTACGAATAGACTCGTTATACACCTATACAATGAGAGTGCAGCTTCTCTAAGTGAATCCACAATGTAAAACATCTTAACAGTTCAAATTAAATAGAAAAAAAATAAAAATTTGAAGAAATCAAACCATATAGAACCACAAACACAAAAGCACATAAGAAATGCAAGGATGCAGATTTTCAAGGAAGTTTAACAACCTCCAGGAGCAAACCAATCGTGAAACCCTAAAAACCAAAAACCCACAAATCTGCCCTCCCTGATTTCTAGACTTTGAGTAGAAACTGATAATAGCATGGGCTAATATTCAAGTACCACAAAAAAAAAAAAAAAAAAAAATGGTAAAGTACAAAAAACTACCTCAACTATTGGTGTCACGACACTTTCATACCTTATCTTTTAAAATTGAAAATGTCATACCTCATCTTTAGAATTCGTGTCAATGTTATACCTTCCGTTAGCTTGGCCATTTATTTCTCAGTTAAATGCTGAGATGGCTTGATTCGGAACCTATTTTTTATTAAAAAATTAATAAAATATTATTAAAAACAAAAAAAATCATTAATATTATTTTAATATTAAAATAATAAAAAAAAGTATATATAAAAAAATAAAAAATAAACCTCTCCTTTCGTCCCTCCCTCCTCTCTCTCTTCCCCATCTTCCTGCAACCTAGAAAGAAGGAGGAAGAAGAAGAGGAAGAAGAAGAAGAAGAGGAAAAAAACAAAAAAAAAAAAAAACCCAAACCAAACCCAGTTTGTCCCCCTCCCCCCACCACAAACCCAACCCCCTGCAACCCAGAAAGAAAGAGGAGGAAGAAGGAAAAAAAAAAAAAAAAAAAAAAAAAACCAACCCAAACCTAACCTGAAGAAGAAGAAGAAGAAGAAGAAGAAGAAGAAGAAGAAAAAAGAAGAAGAGGAAGAAGAAGAAGAAGAAGAAAAAAGAAGAAGAGGAAGAAGAAGAAGAAGGAAGAAAAAAAAATAATGGGAAACTCAGTTCGTCCCACCCACCATGCAAAAGAAAAACAAGAAGAAGAAGAGAGAAAGAAGAAAAAAAAAAAAAAAAAAAAAAAACCCCAGTTCGTCCGCCCCCCTCGCCCCGGACCCACCATCTTCCCTCCACACCCATTCCCCCCCATTTTCTTCCCGCCCAGGTTCTCAACCTTCGGAATTGGCCTGGCGAAGGTTTCCCGATTCCATCTCAACGGGATCTGGGTTTTTTTTTTTTGTTTTTTTAAATAACTTTTCTTTATTATTTTAATATTTAAAAAATATTAATGATTTTTTTTAGTTTTTAATAATTTTTTAATAGAAAATAGGTCCCGGATCAAGACACATCAACATTTAACTGAGAAATAAACGGCCAAGCTAATGGAAGGTATAACATTGACACAAATTCGTAAGATGAGGTACGACATTGTCAATTTTAAAAGATGAGATATGAAAGTGTCGTAACACCAATAGTTGAGGTAGTTTTTTGTACTTTACCCAAAAAAAAATTATCATAGGAAGCTTTTCGCTTCCCGCCAAACGAAGATATTATATGTTCACATATATATTCACAACCAAAAAAAATTATTCACCCACAGTAAAAACCGAAACTAAATTAAACCCAAAAATTAATCATGATCATACATATGTATTCCTGACAAATGTTTAGCCCTTTAATTAAAACACCAAAAAAGAAAAATTGCTCACCCATAGTAAAAAACACAAACATGCAAAGCAAAGCCCAAAAATTAATCATCACTATTCCTCTCTTTTTTTAAGTTTCAGGGAAAAATCAAAGCACAAACAATCAAAAAACCCAAACAAAAAAAAAAAAAAAAAACACCAAAGAGATAAATTATATACCTGACCTAGAAAAAGCTTGGAAGCTCACAGAATGAAACCCTAAAACTCGAAGAAGAATGCTTCCTGCAAACAAAATACAAAATCAGACTCTCTCTCTCTCTCTCTCTCTCTCTCTCTCTCTCTCAAAAAGAGAGAAGTTATCAAGTCATGTACTTGGTTATATTTGTTCAAGTTGGGAAAATTCGAGTACAGGGTTGGTACCTGGAGCTTGAGAAATCAAAGAGCTTGCCAGTTTGAGAAAAGATGATAACAGCAGCTTCAGATTCACACATAATCGATAGCTCTCCAGCTTTCTTGAAATCCCTCTTCTCATCTTTGAGAAGATCACCTGCCTTGCCGGCAAGTAATCGATCTTCCTGATCTTGATCTTCTCCCTCATCATTTTCTCCAATTCTTCCTAACCCCTTCAGAAACAATAATTCAAGTAAAATAAATTGGCCTAATCAACAATAATTTACTATAGGTATCAGGAATAATTTTATGTATATTTGAGACAAAGTTGAACATGTTTTTGAAAATTGGCTGAAACACATGTCGCTTAGCATTTTAACCTTTGCTCTTATAAATTGGCCTGATCACTGCATTTGAACCATTTATTCCCCTCATAAAGAAGTTAGGATTTTGCATTATTACCACCGCTGGCCTACGAATATGTTCAAAAGGTAAAAAATTAAAAATTAAAAAAAAAATCTTAGCGAAAAAAAATATTAAATAAAGCTCTGTTGCAATAAAAGTGGAAATTGATTTACTATATATATTACATTTTATTGTTAGAGGATTTAGAAGTTAAACACGGTCATGAATCACTATTAATGTAATGACTCCTTGTTAATATGAAACCGTACCTAGGCATCCAATATTTATTCCACTATGTTATAAATTGGGTTACACTTATATAATGGATATGTTGTCTTGGCTTGGTGCTCCCCAAGGAATAGCAAGTACATCACTATTAATAAAAAAACAAAACAACATTCTAAATAGATATCATAGCACCTCAACCAGAATATAAGTTGAAAAAGAAGTGGGAGCAAAATTAAAAATAGGTGATTGTTTTTCCACAACTACTAACATGCATAATGTTTTCTACAATAGTATGGTAGTTGAAAATTTGCTCATCATGAACTGTTCAGTGTGCCTGCACTGTGAAGCTAAGAATTGGGACCTCATTGATGCTACATAACCATATTTACTGTAAAACATGTACCATGTCCAAAATGTAAATAAAATATTCTAATCCTATGTGGACAAAAACATGAAATTTATATGTAACTCTTAAATAAAACATGCATTATTATACAATAATATACAACACAATTTATCAGTGATATAGTAACTCTTAGAAGATTGCATATTTGGGGCACAATTGAACCTGATTTAAAGTTTGTCCAAACTTACAGTGATGCCAATGGAACCAAGTCCAGAAAGAACAACTGAAGATCTTTTTTTCAGTTTTGTTGCATTTAAAGTGCCACTCAAACCTGATTTTGGAAAGAAAGTATTCAGCATCAATTGTATGCAAATGAAAGTATTATAACTGAATATAGACAGTATAATGAAAGGATTTCCTCACCATTTTAGTAAATACTAGAAAAAGCGTCTGCACTCCGCTGCAGATTTTGAACTCGTAACCCACAATTTAACTACCCATTTCTAAATTATTCAAAAATTAATCAGAGAAAGCTAAACTGATAAGAAAAATGAACTAAAATCCGTTCTCAATTTCAACAAAGATTGGCAAAACCATATTCTAATCCTATGTGGACAAAAACTGGAAATTTATAGGTAACTCTTAAATAAAACATGCATTATTATATAATAATATACAACACAATTTATCAGTGATATAGTAACTCTTAGAAGATTGCATATTTGGGGCACAATTGAACCTGATTTAAAGTTTGTCCAAACTTACAGTGATGCCAATGGAACCAAGTCCAGAAAGAACAACTGAAGATCTTTTTTTCAGTTTTGTTGCATTTAAAGTGCCACTCAAACCTGATTTTGGAAAGAAAGTATTCAGCATCAATTGTATGCAAATGAAAGTATTATAACTGAATATAGACAGTATAATGAAAGGATTTCCTCACCATTTTAGTAAATACTAGAAAAAGCGTCTGCACTCCGCTGCAGATTTTGAACTCGTAACCCACAATTTAACTACCCATTTCTAAATTATTCAAAAATTAATCAGAGAAAGCTAAACTGATAAGAAAAATGAACTAAAATCCGTTCTCAATTTCAACAAAGATTGGCAAAACCATATTCTAATCCTATGTGGACAAAAACTGGAAATTTATAGGTAACTCTTAAATAAAACATGCATTATTATATAATAATATACAACACAATTTATCAGTGATATAGTAACTCTTAGAAGATTGTGTATTTGAGGCACAACTGAACCTGATTTAGAGGATTGCATGTACACAACTTTGGGATTTGCTATCCTCTTGTCAACTTTGTCATTGGTCATCTCAGCAATAACCTGTTGATTTTACAAACCAAATTAATAAATTATAAGGTTGTATAAAAGTTGACTATCTATGTTAATATAAACGGCAACTTTCACTCCAAATTTCTGTTAAATCTAGAGAAATAATGTTGTAAGCATAAATCTATTTCTAATTTTTCCCATTAAATTACTTACATCTTTAGCAGCCTAGGCAAAGCATGTACAAGTATAAATAATAAATGATTCCGGATCAACAAAGTCTGTCCACACTTACAGCGATGTCAATGGAACCAAGTCCAAAAAGAACAATTGAAGATCC